CTGCTGGACTGATAACTTTTAATCACAACACAGCCCAGGCCCATAGCCAGCAATTTCAAAAGGGGGGTTCTTTCTCTGAAAAAGTGGACCTTTTTTCATAAAAACTTCATGTACATAGATCAAATTTTACCCAGAGTGGACCTTTTTCCAGCAAAAGGGGCGGTTCTTTCTAACCCCCCCGAATCCCCCCTGGCTACGGGCCTGCAGCCTTAAATAAGGATAGAATAGACTTTTTTTTCAATTGAACAAGAGGTAAACGTGTTGATTAACTCTGGTCTCAGGGACCAAAACATGGTGAAAACATGGTGTGATGATTAAGCTCTGGGGATGTAAGTTATATAATTGATACCTCTTGCTGCCTTACATTGCCACTAGTGGCCATTAGTGAACACCAGGGTGATTAACCATAAATGACAAAACTGGAGTGACTTCATTTTCATTGCTTCAAATAACTCAGTTTCGGTTCTTTTTACTGTAAACAGATACCATGGAATGTCCCCTGTGTTGTTTTATTGTTTTGCTAGTCTTGTCTCTCCCTGGTAAAAATCTAATAAGGATAAAACTGTTGTGGTTCCAATGGATGTTTACCAACAATATATGGTGGAAACCAAGAGAATGGTATTCCATTAGTGATGATGTTTTCTCTTTTAAATTTACATCAGATATGTTGTTTCATGGAGGTCTGTAATATGTTAAAAGATGTAAAGATAGAAATAACAGTCTTTATAAAATCAATAAGTTTCTTAGTTACGTTGTTTAGAATTGCAAATGTTTGATGAAAAACTGAAAACAAAACAGATGTCAAATAGTTCAGTTGTCCAGGGTTACCTAGTACAAGTTGACAAGCATTTTCCAGCTCATTTCTTGGACGTGACATGTTCTATTTCACTGTTGGGTGCATCTCGTCTAGAATGTCACTCAAAATAGAAACCATTACATAACAAAAATGCTTAGGGTGTATATGTTTTCTCTTGAGACAGCAGTGTTTGGTTTTGTTTTAGAGAACTAAGCATGTTTTTCTTTCATTACAGTTGGAGGGCACATTTTTCTTGCAGTGTTGCAGTGAAAGGAAGGACTTGTTCAACAGTGTTATCCAATGTGTAATATACTCAGATGTGGATACACTTCAGAAATATTACTATATAGCAAAAAATTTAATGGAAAAGAAGGGAATGAACTACCAATGTTTTTCACTTGGTTTTTTTCTTGATATTAATTTTATCCTTTAGGATAAGGTTGACAGAAAATAGTGCAGGTAGATGGTTACACTTCATATAATACCGTAATTCATTCTTTGTCTTTCTTTCAGGACCATCTTGAATTCCGCATCCACTTACGCTATGAGTTCTTGATGCTAGGGCTCCAGCCTGTTCTAGAAAAATTGCGCTCCCATGAAAATGTCACACTTGACAGGTAAAATGTGTTAATTCACACAGTTAAGATGAATGTTTTTGTGCTAGCTCTGACTAAGACCCCATTCCCATAGATTTTAGATTGATCTATCCCTGTGGAGAGCCTCACTAGATTACTGTCAGCTTAGCCAGCTTAAGCATCTGTCCCGCCTACTAAAAGCTGTAAGGGGGTAATTAACTATGGTGCGTGCTCACCTGACTGCAATTTAGTGTGAACCCCCAGGGAGTTAGGTCGATCGAAATCTAAATCTTTGGATTGATCTAAATCTCTGGGAATGCACCCTAATTTTCTGTAAAAACCAATTGCAGGCGTCAGTTTCCTTGCAGTCGCACACAAAAAGGAAATCTATATTGAAACTGATGTCTTATTTCTTGTGTGAAATGGTCACAGTTTGTTGTTTGCCATTTTGCTATTCAGAATCTTTTTTTCTTAGTTATTTCAAAGTGTTTAAAGGTAGAATATCTGTATTTCCAGGCATATTGATTTCTTTGAAATGGTTAGAAATGAAGATGAAAAAGAGCTGGCCAAGAGATTTGACCAGGTAGGCAGTTTGATAAGAGAAGAATTTATCACCATGGCAATATGACATACTGTGCTTGTCCATTCAACTGGTCATTTAATAAGTTTTGCTATAGATTATTACAGATGAGAAGAAAAAAAGATATATACATTTACTTGTTATTTTTTTAAGTAGTTAAAAAAAGAATCAACGTAAGTATGAGTTAATCCTTTGTAAATGTTCTACATAATGCACAGTTAATTAAGATACATTTACTAATGGAAAATGTTTTCCACTGATATTGTACTAAAAGAACTCAAAAGTAATTCAAAGACTTTACTGTTGCCTTTGCTTCATCAATTGAATTCTTGTTTTTTTCCTTTCTTCCACCACTCTGTTTTTCGTACCAAAATAGCATCTAAAATTTGTCTCCCTCTTACCTTTATAATTGTTTGTTAATCTATAGGACCCATGGAATTATTTTTATTAAATCAACAGTAATGATAAAATAATGATAATAATTTATATCTTCAAAATGTACGTGCCTCAACAGTGTTTATGTATAGTGTTACCTTCCATTATTGCACTTAAAAAGAGTGCACCATTAACCGCCAGTTTCCATTTATATATCTCTATATTTTTTCTTACAAAGTATTGTTTCGTGTTGCAGGATCACATTGACACCCGTAGTGCAACTGCCATGTTTGACATTTTGAAGAAGAAGTTGGGCTTCACCCTGGCCTACCCCCACTTCCTGTCCATCCTCCATCATCTGCTCATGTTACCTTGTAAGTGAGGTTTCTTGATTGTACTCCGCACACTTTTACATTTCCTGGTTGTCTTTAACAGTACTGCTGTGGCCTATGCAGGTGTTATTTCATAAGAAAAAGAGAAAAAGGAGCAGGCCCATAGCCAGTTATTTTAAAAGGGAAGTTCTTTTTTCTGAAAAAGTGGATCTTTTACCATGAAACCTTCATGTACTTACTAGTATATAGAATTTTGCCAGAAGTGGACCTGCTTTCTTTTCATTTTTCCTTGAAAATTAATTTTATATTATGTTGTGCAAAACTTGCTTCATGTTTGTCTTATTCTTTTCTTTGCTGTAGTTTCAACTAATAACACCTCTGAATCTATTATTTCTTTAAAAGAAAAAAAATATTTTTGTATCTGTACCTATAAAGTATGTGACAATTTAAGACCCAAAAAAAGTGTCTTCTTCATTCAGTTGCATTGAAACTGTATTAGTCCGCAGTAAACATATATCGCTTCAGTGAGATATTTATAGAAACACAGCACAATAACAGTCTTGAGAATACTGCTCAGAGATATTTCATTCACAAGAAGAATTATTTCAGTTTACACATGCTATAAGTCTTCACATGTGTCAACAGCATATGTTTGGGTTTGTTGTTGCTATAATTACAATAATGTTGCAGGGTAAACATTTCGCAGAACTGTACCTTGGTTGGTATCACTTTTCTGAGGTTTGCAAAACAACGTGTTTACCAAATGCATTATTGTTTTATTGTACCACCAGCGTTAGCGCTGGCGGTACACATGGTTTCGGTCTCGTCCGGATCGTTCCGCCGGCTCCGCCGGCTCCGCCGGACGGCTACCGTTACCGCTTCTCCTCCTAGACGGTAAGGCCCCCCATACCCATCTCATGGATTTAGGTCACCTATAATCTCAACTCGTTCCACGTAAAATTTGGGCTTTGTCGGTATTGGGGTCTGGGTGTAGCACTCATTGCAATGCACCCTTGTCCAAAAATGGCAAAATTAAATGCTAATTATCTACCCTACGGAAGGAGTTACGGGAAAAATTTCTACAGACGGCTTTCCAAAAGTCATATGTGTAGATTTCAAATATACCCTCGGATTTGACCTTTGACCTTTACTTCAAGGTCAAATGGGCCAAAATTTTCAAAAAAATGAAATTTTTTACGAAAAAAAAATTTTTTGCCCTGTTATTCAGACACCACACAGACTTAACCAATAATATTATTGGAAAGTGTTACCCTTCAGGTCATCTTTCATCTCCGTGAATTTGGGGTCAATCGGTGCATTTTCACAGGAGTAGCGGCCATAAGATACCGAAACTGAAAACTGTCTCTAATTCGGGAACCGTTAATGCTAGAGACCCATTCTTTTTTGCATTTTGTAGAGCATGTAAAGCCCAACACTGGAGGTGGTCTCGGTTTTTTTGTATTCCATACGGTTTTCGAGTTACGCTGTATCAAAAAGTACATATTGGTGGTGAAAGGAAAATGTACGGAAGCCCACTGGTGCCATATGTAGAAAAAAAAATTATCTCGAAATTTCGAGATACTATTTTGAAATTTGAACAAAAAAATTTACCACCAGCGTTAGCGCTGGCGGTACACATGGTTTCGGTCCCGTCCGGTCCGTTCCGCCGGCTCCGCCGCCATGTTACCGTTACCGCTTCTCCTCCTAGACGGTAAGGGCCCCCGTACCCATCTCATGGATTTAGGTCACCTATAATCTCAACTCGTTCCACGTAAAATTTGGGCTTTGTCGGTATTGGGGTCTGGGTGTGGCACTCATTGCAATGCACCCTTGTCTAAAAATGGCAAAATTAAATGCTAATTATCTACCCTAC